GTTGCTTAAAGTACTACTAAGAGGTGGTTGGGGTTAACTAGGCACTTTATAAAACAAATGCTGATACATGTTGACATTGCCTTCCTTCGATATGAATGAGAGAGACACAGTTGCACTTTCTTGTAAAGTTTGATAAGTATGACTCTCATTCATATAATTTAAATCTTCACTTTGATATTTTGGGAAAGTGTCTTGTTTGCTGTCCAGGGAAAGTCAGATATCTGTAGGACAGCAGTTAGATTATCCTCATACAAAGACTGGAAACAAGGAGAAAGGGCCAGCTGTAGTCAGTTTTATCAAATCATCTTTGAATTTGTTATATTTAACTATATCTAAATGTGAAAAATAGAGAGGTTTAAAGGTGATTTTTTTTTTTTTGCTGTAGACTGATTCATGGCTAAGTTGCTTCATGAAGTCCCTGCAGGACTGTTTTCAACTTTTGGACAGCATCAGGCTCTTTTCATTCTGTTTGTAGTCTCTGTGCTAAATTTGGGAACTGATTCTGGCCTTGCAGTGAACATACAGACAGTAAATTGGTACTGATCAAATCTTAAACCTCTGAGCAAATAAGCATCATTTCCCAAAATGTCCTATTCTTCCTTCATGTGGAAATCCAAGACACCAAACATACTTGTCATATTTGCCAGGGCTTCTGGACAAGCAGTAAAGTGAAAATTTATGTTCCATCTATAAAGCTGTTTGGATGTCTGTGCAATGTATCCCTGCATGTTTGTACCCCACATGACATGGACCATGAGCTGTGTTATGTGAATCTGTGCTAAAATCCTGTTCTGGTGCAGTTCAGGACACAGGACTGAATAGGCTCATGTGATTTTAAGGACTTGGCTCGTTGTGGTGTCTTAACTGTTGTAAATCACCTTGCCTGTCACATAAGTTGTTCTCCTCTTTTTACTTTTATGAATTTTTTTCTAATTATTTTTCTCTCATCTTTATTTACACTATTTTATTATGAATTCTGTAGAAATCTTTTAGTTTGCACTCCCAAAACTGCACTCTGTGCTTCGACGTGACTGTAATTAAAAGCAACTTAATGACTGAGAGAGAGGCAGCTTGTAGGGGAACAGTTAAGTAAAATCACTGAAATTGTGTTTTGTTTTTGTTTCGCCCTGGGTCTAACCGATCCCTAGTGGCACTTTCAGTTTAAGTTGACATAGCTGTGACACTCGAAGTTGATTCTTCCGGAAATATTTTATTAAATGTGAATATGTATGAACCTTATAGATTTCATTTCTGTTTTACTCAAATCCAATTCTTCATTTAAAGTTGTATTAAAGAAATGACTTATTTAGATCTTTGTTGTGTGAAGTTCAGTGAATTCTTCAGTTTAGCATTTTTCACATTTATTTTAGCAATTTATTCCATATATGAGTCTATAGTTTTGAAATATCAGTAATATTTCAGTTCTGTTCATTTTGTTTATCTATCAAATGACATTTTGACGCCTCACTTCTCTGGGTACTTGTGTGTAGTTGATGGAGATGATTATATTTGCCTTCATAAATATTATTTTGGCGCTTTAATCCTTTCATTCAAGCTGAAATAAACACACCCCAGAGATGTGCAGCAGTAAGAGAAGTCTTTTACAAGCTCTTTAGCAAACTGTGTCTGATCTTGTTGCATGACTGCATGGTCCATTCAGAAAAATGTCAAAGAAAGTTTTTAATATTTACATTATAAAGTTTATGAACATATTTATGTTTTTAGGGCATATTTTTAAACATGCCCTAAAAACATAAACTGCTGTGTAATGTGATGTTGCAACCATAAGATGGTAGCATTATCCTGTATTCCTTCTGGGGTCCTGGCATAGTACAGACATTGTATTTGTTATAGTGAATGAAGGGAAGTGTAATAACAGAACCATTCTTACTGTATTATCCTTAATAAATAGATACTCAATTTTTGGCACTTTATGACTGTTGAATTGAAAGTTTTTGCAACTTTTGTTAATAAGTTGTTTCATATGCAATAAACTGTATAAGCTACATTTTTATACAGCTTATTCTGTTTGGAAACAAGATTTTCTTTGGCAATAAAAGCCTAAGTGATGTAGCCTACTGTATCAGACTGGTGTTAAGATGTATAGGAAAAAATCATAAATGCTTAATCTTATGAGTTTTACATGGCTAACATTGGCATTGTTTTACAGGTTTGAACATGTAAACTCAATGGTGGTGTGGGACATTTCATTTTAAAATAAAAAAAGAGTGAAACCTAGTTGTTCATGTGGTTTACACGTTAACCATACTCCTCCGCGAATTGCTACCTTATCGTGGTGTAGTGGTTTGTGTGTCCCAGGGATCCCAGGAGATATGTTGTCCGGGCCCTTGTCCCCCTGGTCAGGCCTCTCACTTGAGGCAGTTAAATAATTCCAGACCCAGAGCCTGGCAGAGCACCTCGGGTGGATGAGGTCCGCCCTGAGTTCCTGAAGACTCTGGATGTCATAGGACTGTCTTGGTTGACATGCCTCTGCAATGTTGCATGGAGATCAGGGGTGATACCTCTGGATTGGAAGACCAGGATGGTTTGTTCTCATGTTTACCGGACCACAGGGTGTGTTCCAACTATAGGGGGATCACACTCCTCAGGCTCCCTGGGAAAGTCTATGCCAGGGTGCTGGAAAGGAGAGTTAGTCCGTAAGTCATATACAGGAGGAATAATGCTGTTTTCGTCCTGGTCGTGGAACACTGGACCAGCTCTTTATCCTTTCAAGGATACTTGAGGGTGCATGGGAGTTTGCCCAACCAGTCTACATGTGTTTTGTGGACTTGGAGAAGATATTCGACCGTGTCCCTCGGAGTGTCCTGTGGGAGGTGCTTTGGGAGTATGCGGTGTCCATTGTTACAGGCCATTTGATCCTTATATAACCGTTACAAGAGCTTGGTCTGCATAGCCGGCAATAAGTCGAACTTGTTCCCGGTGGGTGAAGCACTCTACCAGAGCTGCCCTTTGTGACCGATTCTGTTCATAATTTTTATATACAGAATTTCTAGGCGTAGCCAAGTGATGGAAGGCTGTGGTGATGTGGTTCTGTTGGCTTCATCAGGTGATTGCTTCCAGCTTGCACCGGAACGGTTTGCAGCCGAGTGTGAAGCAGTGGGAATGAGGATCGGCACCTTCAAATCTGAAAAGGGTGGAGTAGATTAAGTCTGGTACGTCCTGCACGAGTGACAGGAGAAGGGAACAGGAGATTGACAGACGGATTGGTGCTGCACCTGCAGTGATGTAGACATTGTACTGGTCCACTGTGGTGAAGAGAGAGGTGAATGTAAAAGCGAAGCTCTCAATTTACCGGTCGATCTACGTTCCTACCCTCACCTGTGGTCATGAGGTGTGGGTAGTGATCGAATGAACAAGATTGCGGATACAAGCGGTGGCAATGGGGTTCTTACGAAGGAGGGCTGGCCTCTCCCTTAAAGATGGGGTGAGAAGTTCAGCCATCTGGGAGGGGCTCAGAGTAGAGCCGCTGTTCCTTCACATCGAAAGGAGGTGGTTTGGGCATCTGATAAGTATGCCTTCTGGACGGTTTCCAGGCATGTCCCACCAGGAGGAGGCCGCGGGGCACACCCAGGACATGCTGGAGAGATCATATCTTTCAGCTGGCCTGGGAATACCTTGGTGTCCCTCCTGATAAGCTGGAGGTGGCTGGGGAGAGGGAGGTCTGGCCTTCTCTGCTTAGGCTGCTGCCCCCGTGAGCTGGCCCTGGATAAGCCGAAGAAAATGGATGGGGACAAAAAATGGTAAAAAAAAAAATCTGGCAACTGCCAGTGCTACCCCTCAGCCTCCTACTAGACTACTTTGCCTTGTTCTCAAGTTACTGCATTCACAAGATTCTCTGACTTTGAGGTTGAGGTCACTGAGGTTCAAATGCATAGAATATTTTTATTTGTTGCACCCGTGGTATCAATTTGAAGCTCCTACATCACTTTATTCTTAGGTTATCATATTCATAAGATTTTTATAAAACTTGACCTTTGACCTTGACCTTGAGGTCGAAGTCACTGAGATTCTAACTTATCTGATTTTTTTGTAGTTACACCTATGGTGTCAATTTGAAGCTCCTACACTGCCTCGTTCTTGAGTTATTGAGAACACCTAACTCACAAACTAAGGTGTCCAAGCTGCCCCATCATTGCTTTTACGGAGGTAAAGACACAGTGAAGCCAAGGATTATTGAGAATTCAAATTGCAATACCTTTAATACCTACAGCATGTTCCAATTGCTGTAATAAACTATTGCTAACAGTACCGAATGCTCTACTGACGTCTAGCAGGACAAGCACAGAAATGAGTCCACTGTCAGAGGCCATAAGAAGATCATTTGTAACCTCCACTAACATTGTTTCTGTAAATAATCAGTTAGCTGTTTTACAACCCATCTTTCAAGAATTTTGCATTTTTCACGAGTCAGTTGTGACAGCTAGGATTTGCACCAGGAACTTTATTGCTCTGAGGCAACAGTGCTAATCACTTCACCACCACAGTGTAATGATTCAGATATTCCTGTGTCAAGGCACTATCTGACATCTGTATAACCTTTGTTCCTTATGTGTGCCATGTGTGATCACTCCTATACTGTTTTACTATGGCTGTTCAAAGACCAGCATGAATCTGTTTTTGCAGTAAGTCACTGCAAGCCACAAATCTTTGGCTTTTTATAAGATTTTACTAGTTACAAATATAGCTATTATTAACCTGTGGTCATTAAAGTGCTCCAAATAACTGGCTTACCAAATGGCTCGGGTAAATACGTTAGTGGGTTACCTAGGCAACCGGAAACTGCTAGACCAACCGCCAGCTTCATCCTCCACTTAGAAAAATATTTTTCCTCTGTTGGTTTGCGAGTGTTACTGGTGCTTTTAACACAACACCGGGATGGGTCAGCAGATCTCAGGTCAGGGAGTTATGAACCAGCTCCGTCAGAAGCTGGAGAAATGTTTAGAATTGCTTCGTGACAGTCGCTACTTAACTTACGAGGAGTTCCTGGGAAGACTGGCTGAACTTAATGACATGTAAGTGACAGGTCGTTAAAGACAGCTTTAGAGAACAGCAAGTGGCTTTTCTTTAACATAAAACAGTTTTGTGCAGAATGAACAGGCCGACAAACTTAACCTAGTTCAAAAGTGTACCTTTGGGCTGATTTTACGTAGACTTTTCAATTTGAGAGCTAGCGTCAGTGCTTTTATGATATCTGGGATTTAACCTTCCTTATTTTCTAGCATTACATACATTTCTGCTAGTTTACTAGCTAGGTTTTTTTTTTTTAGCTCACAAGCTCCTGGAGCTTGAAAGCTGGAAGGCATGATAGTGCAGCTGAAGGTCAAATAAACACGAAGTGAATAGCACAGAGCAGTGTTGTTAAGTATTAGTAATGAAAATACATTTTTGAAATTCAGCATGATGAAAAATAAATGTAAAAATTCTGTTATGAATATTGTGGCACTGCTTTGTCATTTGGCTGAATGGTTTATGGAGAAAAACATAACTTCTCCCCTCTCTCATTCTTCTCTGTCAGTACTGCTGAACAGCAGAATGACCTGCTGTTTGAAGTGCAGCCAGGATCTGATGCTACAGCCTTGTGGAAAGTGGCTGTCAGGGTTGTGTGTACCAAGGTGAGACCAAAGAGCCTTCCCCACATGCCAACAGAGGCATCTGCCCACACATTTATGACAGAGAGGGACAGATGTGAGTGAAACCATACTCCTGTAAAAGGGGAAAGGTAATTCTGCCCCTAGAGAAATACATCCTGTAATAGATTGCTGATAGCAGCTATCAACTGGTAGCTTGGATTAAAAAACCGTGCTGGGCTTGAGAAGCCTGTCATCGGTGGGTTATAGCCAACTATTTTGGCACAGTGTAAGATTGAAACTGCATGCACTACCAGTCATTAAGTCACATGATTGCCTTTTCTTCCTCACAGATCAGTAAGGAGAATGGCATGGTGGAAGCATCGCAGATCATGAACCTGTATCAGTTCATCAAGCTGTATCATGACATCGCCAGCCAGAGTCTTCAGGTGCCGTCTGCAAAGAGCCCCTCTACTGAGCTCCTGGCTGACTCCTGCCAGGCCAGCAGGTCAGGCAGTCATGACATAAAGCATACATTTTATAGCACATTCAGCAATTATAAGTACTTTTATAACTTTATTTAATAGTGACAATGAACAGGAAATAGGGGGAAAGAGAGCATGGGAACAACATACACCAAAGGTCATTGCAGCCAAATCAAAGTGGGACCTCACTACTTGGGCATGTTGGTGGTCTAAAAACTCAGCTGTAGGGTTACCATTTTAAAAAGCTATTTAAAAGGTTTCAGCTAAAGCTTTTCTGGACAATTTAACCACAGGTTGGTCGTTGTTTTGTTTGGAACAAAAAAGGACTCCTTTAAAGACTAAAGGTTTTGGTGCCTCAGGAAGAGCATGTGTGATCCCCAGCTCCCACAGATTCTTATGCAAATGCATTCAGTCCCTTTGAATACACCCACTTGATCTTATATTTGCCAGCTGAGCAGTAATGATAATGTTGGAACATACATGCCATTAAAACCATTACACTTGTGCTAATATCAAATGTTGTGTTTCAGGCCCGAATCTCCAAGCAGCCTAACAATGCAGTTAATGCAGTTTTTCCTGCTCACCACAGGTTTCAGTGCTGTAAGACTACAGAAATATTTCTTTAATGCTCCACAATTTGCATAAATTATATAATTTCTTTGCAGCAGAGTGATTTCTCATCCAGAGGCAAGGCTAGGGGGCTGATTGATGGGTCGTGTTAAAACTTTCGGACATTTTTAGAACACAGAGGGATATTATTTTCTCAATTCCTTGATTGCAAACCCTCAGGATTTATCAGACATATTTCTACTAAAAAAGGTAGAAAAGCTAATTTAAGTTGCTTTCCTCTGTAGATAAATAATAAAACAGTTTATGTTTTCTCTGTATACAAGCAGCAATTGATGAATTGATGATGAAAATTTGTTACTGAAAAATCTAAACTTCCTGTTATTCACACACACAGTAATTATTCCACATCCTCTTCTGTTTCTGTAGGAGTGGCCAGAGCCTAAGCAACCTAGCATGTCATCTGCATGTGACTGCTGACAGCGAATCATGGGTAATATCTGATCTTCAGAGACTACTTCCCTAATGTGACTAATGAGGGAAGCCACCCATACATGCTTTAAAATGTCGAATACTTAGCTAAGTACATAGGAAATGGAGATACACCCACATAAGAAGACTTTTTCCTCCTAAAGAGCAAGATAGAAAATAATCCAGCAGGTTTCTTCTCTCTATATTCTTTGTGACAGCCTCTGAAAATGAAAATCTCCTCTTTTAAGTCCTAAAAATCCCAGGATGCTTTTTGAAACCAGTTTTGTGATATGTTGTTTGAAGTGAAAAATAAATCTGTATTTGTATATTATAATAAATTGTAACATTCACGGATCCAAGGAGCTTTATTTGTCATTCGCATCACATGTTAACATGAGGTGGAACGAAATTATGTACACACAGTCCGGAGTGAAAAGAAACAAAAATAATGAAGAAACAGAATTTTTTTCTTAAAGTTAGAATAAATAGTTGGGGTTTTTTTGTTTTGTTTTTTTAACAAAAGAAATGACAAGTAATAAGACAATACAATAAATAATACTATAACTAGAGTGCAACAACCTGAGTACCAGTATAGAGTATGGGTAAGGAGTGTGGGTATAAATATAGGTGTAAATAAATATTTTAGCAGCAAAGGGCATAATGACCAGCATTGATAAAGTGACATAAAACATTAGAATCGACGCGTTCTCCGGGAGCGTGAGTAGCCGCTGCTCTACTGTGCACCGCCATGTTGACATCAACATTTTAATGGAATAACCAAACGTTGCTTAAAGTACTACTAAGAGGTGGTTGGGGTTAACTAGGCACTTTATAAAACAAATGCTGATACATGTTGACATTGCCTTCCTTCGATATGAATGAGAGAGACACAGTTGCACTTTCTTGTAAAGTTTGATAAGTATGACTCTCATTCATATAATTTAAATCATCACTTTGATATTTTGGGAAAGTGTCTTGTTTGCTGTCCAGGGAAAGTCAGATGCCTGTAAATGTAGGACAGCAGTTAGATTATCCTCATACAAAGACCGGAAACAAGGAGAAAAGGCTGGCTATAGCCAGTGTTATTAAATCTTCTTTGAATATGTTATATTTAATTATATCTAATTTGTTTAATATGACTGATTCATGGCTAAATTGCTTCATGAAGTCCCTGCAGGACTGTTTTCAACTTTTGGACAACATCAGGCTCTTTTCATTCTGTTTGTAGTCTCTGTACTAAATTTGGGAACTGACTCTGGCCTTGCAGTGAACATACAGACAGTAAATTGGTACTGATCAAATCTTAAACCTCTGAGCAAATAAGCATCATTTCCCAAAATGTCCTATTCTTCCTTCATGTGGAAATCCAAGACACCAAACATACTTGTCATATTTGCCAGGGCTTCTGGACAAGCAGTAAAGTGAAAATTTATGTTCCATCTATAAAGCTGTTTGGATGTCTGTGCAATGTATCCCTGCATGTTTGTACCCCACATGACATGGACCATGAGCTGTGTTATGTGAATCTGTGCTAAAATCCTGTTCTGGTGCAGTTCAGGACACAGGACTGAATAGGCTCATGTGATTTTAAGGACTTAGCTCGTTGTGGTGTCTTAACTGTTGTAAATAACCTTGCCTGTCAGCTGTGCTGATTTCTCTAAAAGTATTTACATTTATTTGTTAAGATGATTTTAATCTGACTGTTGTAGAAATCTTTTCCATCCATCCAAGTTGATATCATATATAATTTACAGTTAAGATATGAGTTAAAATTGTTTTGTTTAAGTGGATTTAAAGTGTTGATTTTATTAAATGTAAATATGCAGTAGCGTTAATCTTTATTATTTATTAAATCCTTAATTAAAGTTGTATTTAAAGAAATTGGTTATCTAGGTCTTTGTTGTGTGAATTTCAGCTTTTGCATTTGATCACATATACAGGGTGGGCCATTTATACGGATACACCATAATAACATGGGAATGGTTGATGATATTAAAGTCCTGTTTGTGGCACATTAGTATATGTGAGGGGGCAAACTCCTCAAGATGGGTGGTGACCATGGTGGCCATTTAGAAGTCGGCCATCTTGGATACAACTTTTGTTTTTTCAATAGATTTTGTTCAATGATGAGGCAAACTTTTATGTGAATGGTGAAGTTAACAAACAAAACCACCGCTATTGGTCTAACACTAACCCACATTGGATGGATCCCTCCAAGACTGTTGGAACAACAAAAGTGATGGTTTGGTGTGGTTTATGGGGTACAACGATAGTGGGTCCATTCTTCATCAATGGAAACCTCAAGGCCACTGGATATTTGAAATTGCTACATGATGATGTGTTTCCCTCTTTATGCACTGAAGCTGGCACGTTCCCTGAGTTTTTCCAGCAAGATGGTGCACCACCACATTATGGGTGCCAGGTCCGAGCATTCCTAGATGAACAGTTTTCTGGAAAGTGGATTGGTCGTCGTGGGCCAGTTGAATGGCCCCCAAGGTCTCCCGGTCTGACCCCCTTAGACTTTTATCTTTGGGGTCATCTGAAGGCAATTGTCTATGGTGTGAAGAGACGAGATGTGCAGCACCTGAAACTACGGATACTGGATGTCTGTGCTGGCATTTCTCCTGCGGTGTTGCTATCAGTGTGTGAAGAGTGGGAGAAGAGGGTTGCATTGACAATCCAACACAATGGGCAGCACACTAAACACATTTTATAAGTGGTCAGAAACTTGTAAATAACTCATGACAGAATAAAGTTACGTTGAAACCAAGCACACCATTGTTTTTCCTGTTACATTACCAATAAGTTTGATGTGTCACATGGCCCTCTTCCTATTAAAAAAACAAAAGTTGTATCCAAGATGGCCGACTTCTAAATGGCCACCATGGTCACCACCCATCTTGAGGAGTTTGCCCCCTCACATATACTAATGTCCCACACACAGGACTTTAATATCACCAACCATTCCCATGTTATTATGGTGTATCCATATAAATGGCCCACCCTGTATTTTAACTTATTATAAGTATTTTTTATGTAGGAGACAACAGGTTTGGAATTTTCTTTAATATTATTTCAGATCAACTATACTAAAGTTAGAATTTTATGTGACCAAAGGTAAAACTTTTGGGCAGTTGCTTTTTCTTTTTTTCCACTGCTGTCACGTTTTGACACCTCAGTTCTCTGGGTTTTCCTGCAAAGTAACAAAGAGATTCATAAAATGTTATCTGGCAATTTAATCCATTCATTCAACTTGAGATTTTACAGGCTCAAAAGATGTGCCGCTCTTTCAACAAGTTCTTCAGAAAATGGCATCTGATCTTGTGGTTACATGACTGTGTGGTCAGGTCAGCAAGTGTTCCAAAAAACTTTACATTTTAAAACTTAAAGAGCATACCTGCATCTGAATCTACATACACCAGTTTCATATTTTTAAACATGCCCTAAAACATAAACTGCTGTGTGGGATGTATATGATGTTGCAACCATGAGGTGGCAGCATTATCCTGCATCGCTTCTGAAAGGAGTCCAAGCATCAGTAAAGGATACTTTTTAACTTGAAAGTGAGTGAAAAGAAGTGTAATAAAACAGATGCGTTCTTGTAGCATTATCATTAATAAAAAGATGCTCACTATTTTGTACTTCATGGGTTTGTGTTCCGGTGGACTGGATGCCTGTTTTCATTTTTTATATATTTATATATTTTTTGTTGTGTTAAAAAGTAAAATTTCTGTACAGTCTCCCTTTAATCAAGCCAAGTAATTAGATGTTCAAAACAAAAAAACGACCCCCGTTTAACTGTTTCAAATCAACTCACTACAGTCTGTTTCACAAGTGTGAATAGTTGATGTCATAGCCACTGTCAGTGTGGGGCCTCTGATGAATGTAAAGGAAAAATTCAGTCTTCAGTTATTGAGTTTTAAATGGCTCACATTAGCATTGTTCTACAGGTCTGAACAATGGCTGTGTGGGAGGTTCATTTAGAAATAAGAGTAAAAACTACTTTTTCGTGTAGTTTAATGACTGTGCATTAAAAAAGAAAAAGGTTATTGAGAATTTAAAGTGATAACATTTGCAAATGGGCATATGGGGATCATTTTGACCTGTTATTTATTTTGCGTCTGACCTTCAGAGGCCAGAGCTGCTCTGACAGAAGCAATGTCTGCTATGTTGTAGTTAAGATACAAAACTTGAAAAGCTTGTCTTAGTGTCTTTGTATGAACTTTGCAAATGATTATTATCTAACATGTTGTCTTCAGGCTTGGGCTTTCATGACTGAAAGTTATTGATTGACTTATCCTAATGACTAGTCCTTCCACTTGGTTTAGGCTCCAAATTAAAAAAAAAATAATTAAAAAGTGAAAAATGAGACATATTGTTTTTGTTTTTTAACTGAACTTTGTGATAAGGTATTTTAACCTTTCAAGATTGAACGCCCTCAAAAGCATTCAAAAGTTAAGGTTACACATAAGCTGCAGACAGACTGTCTGTCATGGTCCTGCGGCCATGACTCAGTGACTTTGTGTTTGTGTTCCTTATTGTTATTATTCTCTTTATTATTCTTGGGCTGTTTTGGGATGGTTTGTGTTTTGGGATTTTAGATACTGGGTTATGGGTTTGTGCTCCCTCTATTGGTCCCTGGTGTTAGTGTTCCCCTGTCTCGTCAGGTTAATCAGGTCCAGCTGTTTCCCCCACCTGTGTGTGATTTCCCAGTGTCTCTTTGTGTACTTATAGTGTGTGTTTTCCTCTGCTCCTCGTCGCGTCATCTGTGTTCATACCTGGTGAATTCCCCTGCGTGCTCTCCCTGCTGTTCTCCCTTCATGTTCAGGTTTGCCACTCCTTTGTGTAGTTTATCCCAGTTTAGTTCGTTCTTAGTTCTGTTTGCCATCTCCACTTTATGTCTGGTATTGTTAATAAATCACCCTTCACATCTGAATAAGTGCTGCATTTGAGTCCTCCTTCCACTCTTCACATGGCCGCTGCCCCGAACCGTGACACTGTCAGTTTTTTTAAAATGATTTATTTATTTTTTAAACATCAGCTAGCATTCTTATCAAATTAGTGTCAGATGTTTGGCTTCAAAAGAGATTCAGAAATATTTGCTGACATCATGATCCCTCTTTTGCAATTAGAAATTTGTATTCCTGATCACAACTTCGGCTATCATGATGATAAAACACTCACATGTGTGGAAGGTTTTGAAACATCTCCCCTTGCATGTCGTGTGCAGACAGCAGACGATTGCTCAGTTTAAACAGCATCTGTTTCCTCTGTAACTTATTGGCAGGTTGGTTCAAAGAAAGTTCATGACAAACATCTCTGACATTTCTGTAGCCTTTATTTTAGGAATGGAA